AAAAAAAATTTCATTAACATCTTATTTAGATCTAACTGCGTTAGGCTGATGTAAAACTGCTTCTATAGCCGCCAAGTGCTTGAGTTAATTGTTACGTTTGCTCATCATCAAATAATTCTCTAACGAATGCTTCGCCGTTGATATCGCATTGTCTGCGAAACAGTTTGTGTACATTTTTTAAGAAGTTATGGTTTGACTTTTGATTTGACTTCTTTTTTTTTTTTTGATTTTTTTTTTTGTTTTTTTACCATAGTTCATTTCTTGTCTTCAATTATCATCATTTTTTAATTTGCGAATAATTTTGAGAGAACATGAGAACATAAGAAGCGGAGTTTCTAACGGCCAATCATGCCGACAATTACATATCTTCCTGAAGCGTTCGTGTTGTTCGTCTACTGCATTTTTTCTCTTTGCATTTTTTACACATTGTTAACATATGACACATTATCGTTTCAATTGCTACTCGAGTAACGAACACGCATTTACTTATTTGTTTATACGATCGTACATATCTACGCATTAATTTCTTAATTCTTCATTTTAATCTTTTACTTTCATTATGCAAATCGTTTTTTTTTTTTTTTTTTTTTTTTTTTTTTTTTTCATTATTTTGATTCTTTTTCTTTTTTCTTCATCTTTTGTATAGTGTCGGCTGCCTGGGCATGAACGCATGATTTCGAAACGGAAATGTATTTCATGTATCTCAGCAATACTTACTTCTCTTCGTTGTGCGGCGGACATATATTGAAAATGAAAAAAATATTTTATGACATTAGCCGTTAAAGAAGTAAGCAGAGAACGATTGTCTGGACATTTCCATCACATTTAAATCACTGACAATTTCTACAAAGATCATTGCAAAGTCAACTCAATCATATATATATATATATATATACACACACATATATATATATATATATATAATAAGTATAATAAGTATTAATAATGGATTTTCATCACGAAATGAATGCAACTATGAACGATTAAAACGGTCAAAATATTTCAATAAAATATAATATATATGACCGTCAGATCGAGGATGTTTTGATAGACTTTCGCAAAGATTTATATGCTTAAAACCTGCATGCCTTGGAACTTTGTCATACAAGCTATCGGAGAGGCTTTCAATCGTTGCGAATAAAATTTTTATTAATAACTAAATGCACAAGCATTGCCAAAGTAAGTCTGCATTTTTAAATTGTGTGAACGTGTTTTAACAAATCAATTATTTTCTTATTATCAACAAGCACTTCCATGATACAAATGAACCGCTACTAGCTGCCTTGAATTCACTTGTCAAGCGCTATCCCGTTGGCTTGCAAACGCACGTTATCTCGCTTAGTTAGTTTTGCTTAGGTTTTCCCTAACATTTAATTGATTGATTATTATTATCAACTTGATAATAAAATTTTCAAAATGCTTTCCACTACAGTGTGAATCTAGCGAAAAAGCCCTCAAGGCGATCGCTTGGAACTTCCCAAGTGTCAATGGTTTTTGATCGATCATTAAGTTATCCTATAACTAAATATGATCGGACGGCATCAAATTGCTTCTTTTCCTTTAACTCAGAATCCTACACACAAACACACACACGCACATATATATATATATACACACTTTGCTTTACATAGCCCTTGCTTGAATCCTATAAATCAGAACCAACATGACCGGCTGTTATTTTCAAGACAGAATTGAACAGAATAACGTATTTTGTTACAGATTTCGTTTCAATTTATATGTGGACCGAGATATTTCTTACCTTTCACGTTAGAGTTATCGTGTTATTTGTCGCATTGTCACTGCACGAAAATGACTAATTGCTTTGATACCTTTACATTTCTCTGGAGAAGCGTAGAGACTATCTTAAGTACTTCCTGTCTTGGCAAAGTTAATAAATGATGTTATTGATCCAATGTTTCCGATTAAATGAATTGAGCTTTAATATTCCTCATCCTCGTCTTGCAATCAAATTTTTTTTTTTTTTTCTTTTTCAATTTAGCCAATGTAAACAATTAAGAACATTATAATCGAGCTTGGCCGACCCTTAAATACCTCACATCACATTTTTCCTGATATTATTTACTATAACATTATACATCAATTTTCATCATCGTGTATTAAAAGTTCGACTTTTCTGCTCTACAAAGGATCAATTTTCGTGAAAATCTTTATTAGGTTAGGATTCAAAAAATAGGCCGAGATACTTCAAATTTGTTACAGTTCATTTTTTTATATTAACTTACTATTATTATATAATTCTCACTATGAAGCATTGAAAATTATAACTTTTTATTGTATGAACTTCAGTTTTCGTTAGATGAGAGGAGATTCAAAAATTACTCCAGCCGATCGAAAGTTTTCTTATCAACTTAGAACGCCGAGAAGTTTTGAAAACTGCAAATTTTTTTCCATATAACAAGTTTTCAGAATACGCTGTTATATGGGGAGCGATCGAAACAGAGGACCGATGCGAACCATTTTCAATAGTGTTCGTCACTAAAGCAAATTTTCTTCAAAATATCTCAAGAAATGCGAATTGCAACTTGAGCACAAACTTACAGACTGGACAGACATCGGTCGCACAGACAGACTTAGATCAATTCAGATTACGATTCTGAATCCGTCGGTATAATAAAAAGTGAGTCTATCTTAAGCCCCTCTGCATATTGCATACGTTCGCATTAACTTAATATATCTTGTACGACAACTGGCGAAGGGTATAAAAACGCGATGTAGTAAATGATTTGACTGTTTGATTCGTATAATGAAAAGTGGGTCTATTTCGATGACTCTCCTAACTACACATAATCGAACATACGAATAATGAACTCATTTAGAATCCATTGTAAAATTGCACATCTTATCCTATCCTATCAAAACTGTAAATTCCTTATATCCCCAAAAATCCAATGATGGGCATTGAGGATGTCATACTGATGGCGGCCCTTACCAATTTTCTAGATCGATTTGCGAATCATGATGTGATCGATAAGTAACTAATCAAGGTTACTAATATCAAATGTCAAGCTTTTTCCTTGTTGGCGTTGGATTAGTGAGACCATCTCAAAATTTCGATTCTTATGGACTGTGAGTGTGACTCTAAGCGAGATGTTTGCTTGTTTTTCTTTCTTCTCTTCTCGTCTATTTAGTTGAAAGAGATCAAGAAATTCCGGGAATTCTTAACTAAGAGATTTCCGCAGGCTTTGCTTAACATCAAGAGAATTATACAGTGGATGCATCAAAACGGCCCAGACAATCCCTCTCAATTTCTACACAATCATTAAAGATGCATATCGTCTGGCTGGTTAACATAATAGATTTTAACGACGTCTTCCTCACGATACACGAGTCACAGCACATACTTAACAGGAGAATTTCAAGAGAAGAAACGAGCAAACCAACCGCTTCCTGTTGATTTTAATAAGCCATCTCACCGTAGCCAAAACGAATTTTTTCACATTGCTTGCGAAAGTATGTGTCCCTTTAAACGAAATCAGTTTATATCGTTTAAGTCGATCTTGATATACGTATCCACGTCCATCTGTCCATCTGTCAGTCCATTTGATTTATACATTCTACCGGACGCAGAAATGACGATGAAGCTCGAAATTTGGTAAACTCATTGAAAGCTGATACTAACCGCCTTGGAGAGCATTGTCTTTATCATTTTCGCAAGCAGAAAAATGATTCATAAACTATAAGAGATAAAATGACAAAAACGATTTGTGTGCCCGTACAGATAAGTACGGAAGCAAAAAATGGATAAAATCAATCAAATTCGCTCAAGATTATACAGGACCAAAAAAATATCCTTTTTTTATAGTTAAATTAAGTTTTCTTACTTAGTTTCGTTATCTACGAGCCCTGAACTATGTTCTTGACCGCGTTGGTGCTATCAATGACACATGATCGTAAAGCAATCTATTGGAGAAAACGCCACGAGTTTTTTTCCTTGCTCCGCATATATCTTTTTCTTCTTCTTCCGGGAATCAACAAATCAACAACGGATGATTTATTGCATTTATTAAACAAATTGATATATAATATATAATATATTATATTATATATTATATTATATATTATATTATATATTATATTATATTATATATTATATATTATATTATATATTATTATATATTATATATATATATATATTGTAATAATAATCAGTTTTTGTATACGTAACAGATATCCAAGTGCTTTAATCCTTTCAGAGACATACAACAGCTTTTTCAATCTTCCCGCTTGTTTCTCAAGCAATTAAAAATTAAAATTTTATATTTTAAGATTCAATATTTTTCTCCACTTCTGAAATATATATATATATATATATATATATATATATATATATAGCATTCACTGTTAAGAATTTCATATGTTTAGTCTACCAAGTCAAGTATTGTACAAGGATATAGTAGGAAACCAACCGAATTAACCTAATTCGATAAAACAGTTCAAGCCTTTTCCAAATCCCCTTCCTCTCTCATATATAAAACAGTTCTCGCGAAATATCAACAAAAAAAAAAACGTTTTCGCATAAAACTACATTTCAAGGTTAAATATTTAATTGCACTTTACTAACATTTCAAATATTATAATTTGCGCGTTATATAATGCGGTTATCCTCTTTCTCATTATTATTTTTCTTTTTTTTTTTTTCTTTTCCTTTATTTTATCTGCATAAGTAAATAACGAAATTGTCTACATATTTTTAAGTATTGCTGTCCGATTTTATCGTTTGCTTGATTTCTGTCTATATGTTTTTAGTTCAATTATAGCTCGATATTTCCTAATACTAAAGATTTTCTAATACATTAGATGACTGAACGCAGGGGCTTGAGCTTGGGCTTAGCCTTTATGATGTGTCATGTGGTCAATCGTTAGCGACTCCTGATATCATTGCAAATTTTATTGCAAAATTTTATTAAAATATCAAAAAAAAATTTTTAATTAACTTAACGCAAAAAACAAACAAACAAACAAACAACGTATAGCCTTCTTATTCAATATTATTATTAATTTTGTTTTTTTCACACATTTTCATAGAAAACAAGTAAATGCAAGAAATTATCCGGATAGCTTAAATGCTCGGACATCCACTGCAGTTGCGTATCACAATGAACATCTATACCATGAGTACGAAAACCAACTGAAATATGAAAAAGCAAATGAAATGAATTAAGATCTCAGCAGAAGTAATATAAGAAAAAGCAATAATTCACTTTATTGACTTAAATTTTAATTAAAACTAAATTAAAATGTACATTAAATTTATAATTGCGATTAACAGATTGCTTTCAATACAATTTTATTCGCCGCTTTCGAATTAATGAATTTAGTAAACAGCTACGTATTGTGATGGGAGCGGGATTTGGGGTGAGTTGTGGAGGAAGGGTGAGGAAAAAAAATCGTAAGCATTTCTATCCATTCGGAGATAAGACATTAAAACAAATGTACTCCGGGCTCCGAGAATGCCTAGTTGTGTGTGTTCGATTTATTAAACTCTACGACAATTTACGGTAAGAGCATATTAATTTTATCGCATGCATGTATGTACACAACAGTTAGAGCGATCCACTTGAATGAGATACACTTCTTCTTATTGTATCAGTCGAACCAAAATCGATGGTCCTACAGCACCCTATACTTATCCATATACCGACTTTTCAAAAAATAGGCATGTGCTCGAAAAGGTGGTTCGGTTCGACTCAATTTCAATAGTGTTCGTCATTGAGTTAAAGCACATCAGTGCAACAAAACGTCTCAAAAATTGCGACTTGTATGTCGAACACAAGAAAATAAGATGGCATACAAGCTTAGAATATTATTCTGAACTGATCGATGTAATAAAAGATGCATCTATTGCAAGTGCCTTCTCAATGTCGCGCACATTCACACGAACTTAATATACTCTCGTATCGCAACTGATATAGATTATAAACAGGTACTCTAGACATCGACGGCATATTATAAAGACTTGGAGAAGGTACTTAAATCATAGATATTATCGAGTCTACAAGTTAATTAATAGCAATGAATATTATAGATGACCGCGATCTGGGCACAAAAACACTTAAAATACATAAGAACTTTAATTCACTAATTTATAGCAATATATTGATATAAAAAAGTCAATAAAAACAATTTAAAATTTAAGTGAAAAGAGGGCGTGGTTCACTTATGAGTATATCTACAATATTCAATAGAAATATAACTTGCCTTCAATATTGAGATATTGGTCTAACACTTGATCAAAATATTTTCCAACGCCGTCTAAAATGGCAAACTCACGCCTTTTTGGGCACAGTACCCCTTTCCATATCTATGGAATAGCTATAGGCCTACCTCATCGCATTCAGATTATCAATTATTAACCAACTTAAACCGGATGATCTCAAGGGCTTAAACACGATGTGTACAGGGAACGTATATGTGAATCAGTGTACCACAAAGCCAATGGCCACCCACCAATTTAGAGTGACCATACCGCAAATCGCATGATGGTTTAAAGCCGGAACAAAGATTTCAAGAATCCATACCGCTAGATTACGCACTCCGTCCATATTTTAGGCAGAAGTTTTTGCAATCTCTCCATGTGCATCGCACTTATTAGAAAGCCAATAAAGGAGAAAATTATTTCCATTCACTCCGAGCTGATCTCAAGGTCTTCAAAAGGGATGCCTTCGAACCCCGAACTAGAACTAGAGGGAAACGCGATAATGTGCAGCCATCTTGGTTACTCGACGATTTCGGTATTGAAACCAATGAAGGAGCTGACTGAGTAGGCCTGGGACTCGCAAAGACAATGCCAAGCTAAACGATTCATGAAATCGTCTGACAAAGTATACAAACTATTGAAACTACGAAGGTCGCGACATATGTCTCGCAATTCATTTAATATTCATGGAATTCTAGTAGTAATTGTAAACTATGACGGCCTTACACTCCGGGAGAAATGTAGGATGCAAAGCCGTTTTTAAAAGAATGAAGTTCACACTTGAAAAGTTGTACCGAAAAACATCGGCAGAGGAAAGTTTCTAAAAATCATCTTAAAGATAGCAAATGCTTTAACTGATGGGACAGTACTTTATATTGGAATAAAATGGCCAACGAGACAAGAATAACATTAATAGGTAAGAAAATTATATTCGGTCGCGATCAAATTTTTTATATGCATCACCGTTACCCATCACCTAGGAAAGACCAAAAAAGTAATCGAACTCAATTATCATGCTCTAGAATATTGAGTGAACGCGTCTGAGTTTTTTTTCTATTTTCAAAATAAAAGTTTTTATCGCATACGCGTGTGGGCGTTGTAAGCGTGTCCTCGGCAAAGTTGAAGTCACTCTCAAATTCTTTCGCAAAATCATTTTCGCTAACGGGAGAATGTTTACCAAAAATACTACGCAGTTGCACAAACATACAAATGGGCGAACAAACATATGGCAGATGCTTGGCTGCAATCCATATTTGAAATTGGCCAAGAATTTATATATTTTATGGGATTTTTGAACTATTCTTTTACGCGTTTTTTTTAGTATCGAATAGGCGTGGCCTATATTCTCAATTTTTCAGCAAATGCTACAGCATCGCCCATAAAATATGCGTTCGAATTTTTCTAGATTTATTATTATTATTATTATTATTATTATTATAAACTTAGCCAGAGAATAAATTCTAAGACTAAAGTCTTAAAGCACTAGCATCTCAGGCTTTCGGTTTTATTAAAAAATCTACCGCACTTGAGATTGAAATCCACGAACATTGAATTGCTAGTCGAGACACTTGCCTACTCAGTCACTCAGGCGGATTTTTCTAGATTTACCTGCTGCAGTTCATAAGTAATAACAAAAAAAAAAAAAAAAAAAAAAATTTTAATGTTTTTTTAAAAAATAGACAATTTCTCACCTTATGTACTACTGTAGGCCGGTCCTTCAACCAATTTCAGCCCCTTTCAATACCAACCTAAGCGCAAGAACTTCCAATGTTTTTGCCACATTTGAAGTTGGTAGCTTAATTTTTATACACGGAAGAATGTTTACAACAGACGGACTGACTTGCTTAAGTCGAATCAGAATTGGATGCTGAGCAAGAATATGCATAGTTTGTGGATTCGTTGATGCTGCTTTCTTGGGCATTGCAAACGTTTTAATAAAATGACATACACCTCGTCATTCGATGACGACGGATACACAAAGCACAATTAGATACATATATTATGTGCAAGAATTGATCTACATCTAAGGATGAAATGTGGAAGGCACTCGTAATAAGCCATTAAATCTAAAACGACTTGCAATTACTAATGACTAATGCGAACGTGTGTGTGTGTGTGTGGATATGTGTCTGCCTTATCGCATCGACTCTTGAATAGAACATTGTATTGGTAAATGCCAAAGCGTCCACACCAAAAACCTTCATTTTTTAAACAATTGATGACGACTTTTAAAATATAAATTTTTTATATGAATCAACCAACACACTCAACTCTGATGACAATTTATAGAATAACTAAGAACAATATTTAACGCATATGACTCTTTTTTTTTTAATTCTCTAAGATAGATAAATAAAATCTCCTTTCGGTTGGGTTTTTTATGCGCTGCATAAATTAAGAATTCTTTACATATCAACATAATATGTTTACTATAGGCCTGTGCATCCGGCAACGTTCATTCATTGTTACCAAAATATGTGTAAATTGTATAGAAGCGTGAAATATAAACACGAAATTACACACACACACACACACACATAATGTGCATATAATGCAGATAGTCGAAGGACCATTTTAGAGGAAAGAAAGAAATGTAGAAACAAAATGAGTCTAAACAGTTTGACTTTAGACTGAAAACGTGTAGATAACTTTGATTAGATAAGCCCGCATATAAGCGCACATAACAATTTCTAGCATTTGCTTAATGCTCTGAAAATTTGTGTTAAATAAATAGTAAAGTGTGATTTTTTCACACCTTGCGAATGATAAAAAAAAAGAAAAAAAAAAACAAGTGGGAAAACTGTCTGCAAATATCTTAAAGTAAATTAAGGCTTATCATTTCGAACCTAAAGGATCATATAATCGTTTATATAGGCAAGAGTGTGAGAATAACGCGGTAATCCTTAAATAATATCGTAGAATTTGGTACTTTTCACCTTAACCTAAGTGATGTCTCTAGGCGGCCGGCAAATAAAATATTTTCGCTTAACACCGACTACCCGATTTTCGAATGCTTAAGGTGTATAAATATCAACACAACAGATGATTGTTACGCATAACAGCCTCTATAGCTATTCTACCGCCAAGAAGATTAGTGAAAAAATGTATTTGAATCGAGAAGACTGAGGCAAAAAATTTATATATTATTGGCGAGGTTCGACGGTGAACATCTACTAAATACTATGTCAACGGAAAGGATCAAATTATAATTCCATCTCCCAGTGGACTTAATACTTAATGTTTAATTTACAGAAAATATATATATATGTGCGTTATTTCTAACATCCTTTATTGCTGAAGTGAAGAAACACAAGAAACAAATCTGTTGTTTACACACGTACATTGCGCCAAGTGTATGACGATAATTTGGTTGAAGCCGAACATTATTATTATTCTCACTTGCTTTTCTTTCGTCGGAAAAACCTTAAAGTTGATTTTACACAAATAAAAATTTCACACTTACAAAAACTTACTAGATGAACATCTGGGGAAAATCCTGATGAGGAATAACCTGCCTTTCTTTCAAAGAAGCAATAACGTAAAACATTTGTTATTGAATGAAAATACTCAATCCTGAGCACAATAGGGTGACTGAGCTCGAAGTTCTTTTGTTTCATTTTCTTTCTCTAAAACAATAAACGAAAAAACAATGAAAATGAATCTTTCGGCAAATACAATGGCGTTTATTTTTTCTTCTTTTTTTTTTTTTTGTTTTTCCTACTTTTCGTTTACTAGTATTTAGGTTTTTCCAAAATGATCATTGCTCTTACAAATGCGCTCTTACACGTACTCATATATGAAAGGTACGTATAAATTCATTTAAGAAGAGGCCGGCATCAGGTAATGCACATTGCTAACGATAAATTTGACCGAAAGAGGCTTATGTCTCACATATATTTCAATTTAACGCATTACTAAAGGTTAATTCCTTACCTTACACATTTCAATGAGCAAACTATTATGAAACAAAAAAACCAAAAAAAAAAAAAAACACATTCAAATACATAGGCCCATGGTAAGCACGTATTGGGCCATTTATAAAACCAGCAAAAAACAAAAAAAAATAAAAATTCATATAAAAATTAAAAACTATTTTGCTTATAGCACCTAACAATACCAACAATGTATACGTATGTGTGTGTAAAATGACTGCTAGATAAATTCTAATAAAATTCGTATCATTTTTGAATCTTCTCAATCTTACCCGCATTACGAACAGGCGTTGATATTTCAATCAATAAATCATGCAAAGTTTTCTTTTGACCCGTTTCCGTTAGGGGTGAAATAAGCTTTTGCATATAGGCGGAATCCTATAAAACAAAAATTTTACATATCATTCCGCGGCAAAAAGTCTATATATATATATATATATATATATATTTGTTTTTAAAAGTTTTACATACAAATTTTCAGTATTAAACTAAATATAAAACAACAACAATAACAAAACTAATCATTAGAAATCTACCTCTTCATAGAAGCGTATTGGAATGTGTTTAAATGTGTCTTGCTCTGCGCCTGGCTCCATTAATCTTCTGTTAACAGCCCAAAATTGATCGAATTTATCATTTATTAATCCAGACCATAATTGATTGTGCTCTTTTTTCTGCATAGCAGATATCACTTGACCACGATGCTTCAGGACATCAGCTTCTTTGAGGCAAGACATAAAAAATGATTCCAAAATATCTCTACAAACAAATATTCATATTATAGCTGAGAGCATAAATAGATTTGGGACTTGTTACTTACTTTGTATCAAATTTGACAAGAGAGTCTTCAGGAAATTTAGAAAAATGTATAGTAAGAGACCAAGGATGGTTATCGTCTTCCGCACGTAACAAATCATGGAGTACACCTAAAATATAAATCACCAAATAAAAACAGATCAATCGATCGTCATTTTGATACATAAAATAACGATAAAGCTTCCGACCGCTTAGCGAAATTCCGAGTCATTTCAGTTGTAAAGACCAGAAACAATTATCGCTGATCCTATGTCTATATATTCCTATCTTGTATATATATATATATATTCTTCATTCATTACATTACAGTCGACTGCTGTTAGAACTTTCAGAGTCGCGAAAAAGATAAATAAAATAAGAGGTGACGCATTTTTCCGTCCTTGGTTGATGACCATAGAAAGAGTTAAAATTTCTTGTCAGTGAATATTAATCCTAATCATCTACGCAGTACAGAAATTATTGATATCAAATTTGTTAAAAATATTTGAAAAAACTATCGAGCAACTAACCCTGGATTATGGCAATTAACAGAACGAATCTACGATTGGTGAAGAGATTCGTTCCGAAACGAATTCAACTTTCTTACTTCCAAGGACATTTTTACATGCAATTTATTGAATGAATAAATCGGATGTCTTTTGTTAACCAAGCTTTGAAACGTTTACGATGAAATACATTAAAGAAATTAAATTGCGTTTTAAGTCTTTTAAATCTTAAACACCGTACATACACCACTTCGCCAAATTCACTCGTTTTTGCAACAATACACCAAAAGTTACACATTATTTTCACGCAAGGGTATACTTTTCCTGGAAAAGAATAAAGATGGGAAAGAAATAAATTTTCATTCTCTATAGCATAGCGTGGGCGCGGCTGATATTTTCTATTTTCAAAATAAAAGCTTTTCTCGCATAGGTGTGTGGGCGTTATGGCCGTGTCCTTGAAAAAAGTTTATGTCACTTCAAAGCTCTCTTGCATATTTTTAGGCGACATCTTCATTTTCGCTAACGGGAGAATATTTACCGCGAATTATACGCAGTTACACAAACAGGCAGATGGGCAGACAAACAGATGGAAATGCTTAGCTGCTTTCCAAATTTGAAACTGCCCTAGAATTTATATACTTTATCAGGTTTTTGAAGCTTTCTTCTGCGGGCTGGTGGACTTTTTTAATTTTTCTACAGAGGCCCCAGCATCGATCATTGAATACGAGTTCAAATTTTTGTAGATTTATCTGTTATAGCTTATAAGTAATAAGCAAAAAAACAATTTTGTAGTCCTTTTAAAAAGCAGACATATCTTCACTTTACGTAGTACTGTAAATCCTTCAACCGATTTTGCCTCTTTTCAATACCAACATACGTGCGAGAACTTCCAATGTTTTTGCTAAATTTGAAGGAGGATGTTTGCAACAGAGATTACGCAGACGGCCAGACGGACATGCCTAAATCGATTCAAAATCTGATGCTAATTAAGAATATGTACGCATTGTTGCGTCTCTGAAGCTTTTTTCTGGGCGTTGCAAACATTTTGACAAAATGGATATAGCCCTCATCCTTTGGTGATGGGTATAAAAAGAAAAACCGAGAATCTTAGTAGTTAGTAGCTCATCCTACTTTTAGTACTACAAATTTACAGAAGAAACAAAAATAAATAATATAAATTCTCACAAAATTATTACTCTCTGAATGGTTATGGAGTACTTTGCCTTACCAATTGGATAATGTAGCTTCAAAGGAATGCCATTATAATCAAACCACACAACACCATCTGATTGATCATTTGCAATAAATCGACTAAAAAACTTTTTGACCTAAAATTAAATGAAACACATAAATCTATTTAAAATTTGATAAAAGCTGCTAAATTTGTTGTTTTTACCTACTTTATCTGTTACAAGAGGTAAATAACTTAATCGAGATACCATTAGATGAAAATTTTCTGGTTGTTGTAAGCCAACTATTTCATCTGGATCAGCTTGGAAACATATAGCTATTTGCCCTTCCCATATCATACGTAAAATTTCACGATCCTGAGCCATAATTGCTATGTAAAATGTTTATTATATATGTATTTATAATGCACTTTGCCTACTAATACAAAAACTTTTCACAAAATCAACTTATTCTGTTAATACAAGTGAATTGTTTTTTTATATGGATTAAAAAACCAAAATGCATTTTTAACAGATGTTTATTGAATACTGATAGGATGGTAACTCTACAGTTACAGTGATGGACAAAACTGTGCAAATATAACATATCCGCACATGAAGGCAATATATTGTTGATAATAAATAATTTGATTAAAATACTTAAATAAAACATTTTAATCAAAAATGCAAACCTATAATTTACAAAATGTAATAGTAAAAAAAATGGTGGTGATGATGGTGGTGGTTACGAATAAGCCTTGTGTTCGTAATATTCGACAAAAATAAATGCATATGAATCAATATTTAATTGATTAACTGCCCATTTATAATACTCGCAGTTATATTGATTTATATCCACCAATCTCGTTTACTTCTGAACTCAGACATTAATACAGTGATCTTTCCTGGTAATGCCTAAAGATATTTCTTTAATGCACATGTTGGTGGATTTGGATTTTTGATTTGCATAACAACGAACTGGAATAACAATTTAGAAATCCTGGCAGTTCTTACCTATGGAATTACTTATCTCTAGATAGGTTTGATATTGGCTAGAAATCTTTGCCTACTTAAGTCATAGTCTTAGTCCAATAATTATTGATAGCACGTAAGAGGACTAAAGAGTTTTCCTTATAAACAATTTGAAATTCAAATAACGTATTAAAGAACATCAAGAAATTCTGTTTATGAAATTGACTAACTATCTGCCACTTTTTATAAGCATAAAAAAATAGTGATTAATTTATAGATGAAAATTATTTTCTGTAAATATATATTTTTCAACTTTAGTGTTGTTTTTGTTTATAATTAAATTTTTTCAAAAATTTCAGAGTAGTTTCATTTGCAAACGTCCGAAGAATCAAAAGTTTCCACGAATTGAAAAGATGCAATAAAAAAAATCACGGCATACCAAATCGGAAATACAACAATAACGAATTTAAACAAAAAGTGCAAGGCATGTCCCTATAACATGATCAAACTGTAATTATTGTGGAAAGTAAACAGAAAATTTAACCAATCATGGTCACGTCTAATCTTATCTAACAATAACCTGTAATGTTATGAAGTGGTAACCGCTTTAAAAATTTCAGAAAGTGGAGTTAATCGATTTGCCAAATGAAGTATACATACGTAATGCATTAGTGAGACGATGAGAGAGAGGCTTGGGGGAAAAAGAGAGAAATAGTAAACTATATAGTTTCAAACCTTTGAAAAATTAATACACAGATTTTAAGGATTTTAATAATCAGTATAGCTAAAGTGTAGATGGCATAACCTTTAAGATAATTATTCAAGCTGCAAACCTAACACATCTTTATTTAAATTGCAATCATAAAAATGCAACAGCTACTCAGGTTGTTGCTGTAAATCTTTGACTTTGTATGGATGTTGTTGCAAAATTAAATTTTTGTTTATATTTGCCATACACGTGCTATTGTTTACAGGAAAGTGTGTTTTGCACTCTGGCATTGAATTTCATATTCTCAGCATTTTTCGTCTCTTAATTTGTAATGTGGGTATAATTGTGCTATAAATCTATTACTGTCTGTAGATGAAATAAATTAAAAATAATTTTTCAATAATTTTCAATATTGATAGTTCTAATTTTTTCTCATCTCTCAGAATAAATAAGAATCGATAATTTTAAATACAATTTTAAATTCTCGAAATCATACGATTTTTTGTCATCGCTGAAATAGTATTGTATGTATCAGCTGTTATGCAATATAGACAAATACAGCAATTCGACCCAATTCTATTTATCTAACATAACAATTATGCTTTGTAATCGCATAAAACATTTAAGTATAGGGCAACGTTTATACCCTATAAAAAACCATGTTGCAGCCTATTGTTCAAACATTCAGGCTATTGATATGTCTTATGACGTATTTGAGTCCAAAAATTCAGACAATAATTTGTCGCCGCTAATAATTATGCATGGGCTTTTCGGTTCAAAGCAAAATTGGAGAGGCGTAGGACGCGCGTTAGCATCGAAAATGAATCGAAAGGTGTTTGGAATGAAATAAAAACTAATAAAACTTCCCAATGCTTTATATGATTGTTAGGTAATTACCGTTGATGCTCGTAACCATGGTAATTCACCTCACACAGATGATCACGGCTCCAAAAGTATGGCAGCAGATATTGTTCAATTAATGCATCGATTAAACTTTCAAAAAATATCCGTTCTGGGCCATAGCATGGGAGGGAGAACTATGATGTATTTCGCACTTAAGTATGTATGTAATATTTTGCGCAATTTGAAAAATATTCTACTGAATGTCGTTCCTATTATATTTTACATTAATTTACAGCCGGAGATGGTTGATAAAGGTATAATAGCTGATATTTCTCCAATAAGTATTCCTGGCGATATTTCCATCATGAGCAAAATATTATTGGCTATGAAAAACATTAATATCCCTTCGGACGTACCGATGGCGGCGGGTCGCCAACTAGCTAACGCTCAACTTATTAAGGTTGTGCCAAGCAAAGAAACAGTAGACTTCGTTTTGTTAAATTTACGAAGATCAGACGATGGAAAGTAATGAAAGCGTATATGACTGGAAGAACGCGTAGCATATTACAAAAGTAATTCTTAATAATTTTTTAGATACTACTGGATTCATAACGTGGACGCTTTATATAATAATATGTCAGGATTTACAAAATACAGTGAAACCATTGGAGGTTTACCACCGTTTAAAGGCCCAATAATGTTTATTTGCGGGAAAAATTCTCCATACGTTGAGTATGTTATCGAATTGTTAAATTAATTAATTGAAACCTGCACGTAAAACTTTTTCAGTCCCAATCATTGGCCACAAATTCAAAATATTTTTCCAAATTCGGAAATTCATTGGCTTGATGCGGGCCATTTAGTCCATTTTGACCAGGCGGCCAAATTCATTGAATTAACAGTTAACTTCCTGAACAAATGATGCTAAAAGTACTTGATGTTTTACGAGATTTTTTATAATGTATTATACATACAAACAAATAGAATAAATGCTTCTTCTTTGTTGGTAAAGAAAGTAAAGCAACGGTGATTTTTGCCATTCCTTTTTTTTTTTGGTATCCATCATCAAAACATGTCAAAATATTTGCAACGCCCAGAACGAAGCTTCGGAGACCACACAAAGTATATATATTCTTAATCAGCATAATCCAATTATGAATCGATTTAAACATGTCCGTCTGTCTGGCTTTGTAAACATTCTCTTGGCCGTAAAAAGGAAGCTATCGAACTTAAATTTAGCAGAAACATTGGAAATTTTTGCTCGTTGGTTGGTATTGAAAGGAGATGAAATCGGTTGAAGGACATGTCCACAATACCACGTAAACTGAGAACACCTTTAGTTCTGAGAAGCATTTAAGTATTGGTTTTTCGGCTCATTACTCATAAACTACAGCTGAAAAATGTACATAAATTTGATCGCATATTCTATGGGCGAATGAAATTTAAATCTTTTTTTTCAATAGCTTTACAAAGCGCATAAAAAAATTTCAAAGTGAAGTACAGTAATCCACCCTATAACACGATAGATTAGTTCCGCGTTGTAGGAAAATGCGTTTTACGAGAACGCTCTTATGATCCTGAGTCATGAACGAAATATGTGGGTTTTATTAAAATCAAACTAAGCTAAGAATATTTTCAATGAAAAACTTATACATATGTACTTAAAAATCAGTTAATTTCAAATAAATTACATAATTCCAAAAATAGTTTTATTACATATTTATTCGCGAAATTGATTATAAACTGTACAAATCATTATAAATTTCACGGCACAAATATATAACGTGTACAATATCTGCACGTTATACGAGGCACATGAAATCGCGTAATATGAAAACGTGTTATAAGAGTACCGTGTTATAGGGGCGATTATTGTATACACATTCTTAACCAGTTTCAAATTTGGAATGCATCTAAACATGTTTCTCTGCTCAATCATATAGTGCCTATGGTGAGGTGGCTCAAAATTTTCAGAGGACACGCCTATGCGACAAAAAATTTTTTCCTAAAGGATGAAAATTTAGTTCTTTTACTTTTTTACTTTTTTGCCGTCTTTAGGATAACAAAAGATTCGATCACGACCGAATATAATTTTCTTACATGTGTTTTTTGTTCTCTTGAGCTCCAATTATAAGGTAATTGCATCTAAAAGTGAAACTGGCTTTGCACTTACGGTCCATTTTACCGTTTATGATTTTCGTGACTTAACAATCTTGGTGTATAGCAAAATGGATATTGAAGACTATTTTTATGACTATTGCTCTAGAATATCTTATGTTTCACACGAAGATGCAAAGGCTGTGTGTGATAAGAAAACATATTGTTTTCTGTTATGATTAGTGAGCAGGTCAAAACGCCCGAATACACCCGTCAATATAGAAAATTAATTAAGGGCCCCCGGTTTGCGCTTCAGTTATTGCGTTTGAAAATCTGGAGATTAGATAAAAATAAGAAAAACATATTTGATTTAACCTAAAAAAAGCTTGTAAGGCATTCGCGATCAATATAAAAATTTCACTTGTTCAACAACTCTGAAGGCTAACACAAAAATGTCTAATATCAGATCGATAAATCTAAATTTGGACAATGATTTTCTAAACATACGGACCCCTGTCGAATCGTAATAATTTCTTTAACCATTAACGTTGCACATAATACAATCGAATCGGATTCATTTCCTGCATCGTTTCAAGTTTATCGCTCCATATATCCGTCGTGTGTTCAACTTGCGGGTCCCAAATTTTTTCGGATATTTTGATAAAATATGGTACATTGACGTGTTTCAAACTCAAGGACCAAAGCTATTGAAAATGATTCTAATCGGACCGCTTCCCATAAAACGTCTTATCTTGAAAATCTGTTAATCTCGATAATTGTTTTAAACGAGTTGGTGTCGAATATTCAATGATGCACCGTGCCCCACTACAATGTCTCTACTTATTTCTAAATGACTTTCTGTAATGATTACATTTTCGGGGTCTGATATGATCGTGTCTTACGTTGTTGTACCTCCCATTCGTCTTATTAAAGAAATAATCGACTGGCTATCTTTGTTCAAACTGTTTTGACGTTTTCAATTCCCTTCATTGAGGCTTCCAAAACAGCCGTTCCTCTACAATTTGCGCTTCTATGCAACCCAGCGGCACTTCTTCTTAACGTCTGCGAATAATTTTCAATTCCGATTATTTATTTAACTACAATTTTTTTCGATGGCTGGCATAAATAATAATCAGAATACAAATGTACATATATATATTAATCTTTTTCAAGGTTTTTGCTTATTGGAGAGGAAGGTCCAGTACATATTATTTTGATGATAATTCTTGAGACAGCTTATTACGTTTTTGAATCTCTTGCACAGCAATTCACAAGCAAGTTTTTGACCAGATCCATGTGCTTCTGTCGAACCACCTTCACATTTTTTTCTTGGATACTGCCTTACATAATTTGAGTTGAATAACTGATACGCTAACGTTTTTTTTGGCCCCAGGACAAAAGCTATTGAAAACAATTCGGATCGGGTCACTTTTTCGACCATTCGCCGTAAAAAGCCCTATTTTGGTAGGTCGTTATACGAAAAAAATTGCGTAATTTTTGACATTCTAAATTGGTAGCGGAAAACTTTGGAACGAATGGTGGGACAATTTTTGAAATCAAATGATAAAAAGGCCCAATTTTTCAATGCTTCTTGATGAAGGTTCGTTCACAATAATGTTTTGACATAATAATTAACCTAACCGATTTTGGTTTAGATCAATCGTTAAAATATTGGCATCTATTCGCAGTTTATAGTCCGCGTTTGCGCAAGAAAACAAGTTAAAAAAAAAAAAATCGCAGATTTGAATACGAAACCTTCTTTTCAAAAATTTAATGTAGCGAAAATAAAAAAATTTTTCATCAAAATAGATCGATTAATTTCTCGTTCAATTAATGATTTAATGATGATTTAAGTGCAAAGAAATGATTATAGGGTGAAATTGATAACCAATTAATTACATATTTGATGAACATCTTTATTGTTTCAATGTTAAGTAATTTGCATGCACATAAACATAACAAGAATTATTTTATTTAATTAATTTATTTTTTTTTAATTTTATTTTCATTATATTGACGATTTATTTATTGAAATCATTGAATAAGGCTGCTGAAGATATTTTGATAAAACTGTCTAAAGCGCGCGGAATAAAATTCAAAAATACATTTTGTTGCAGTTATTCTCTTTCTTGTTTTTTCTTTTTTTTTTCTTTTGTGTATATGTTTATAAAAAAAGAAGGCCAAGTTAACAAAAAGCATTGTCGCTTGGAATGCGGGCCATCCATCGCCTATGATTATCGACCATTATTTAGATTGTGTGTTTTGTTGTTGTATATTATTTAAGAAAACGTATATTCTAATAAAAAATAAAAAAAAAATAAATAAAAAATAGCTACATTCGAGTTAAGCCGAATATTTCGATACCCACCCACCACTTCTGTTCATTGCTTTAAACTTGTAGAAAATTATTGTTTGCAAAATCTATTTGAAAATTATTATATTATTGATTTTCCTTATCGCCAGACAATATATATGTAATGTTTCATTCAAATTCAAATGTATAAGAAGAAGAGTTTGGTAATCATTGAGTGTTTTGGTTACAGTTTTTAATAAATACGATTTATCAATTCTTTATTATTTGCAAATTAAATTATTTGTAATTTTTTTTTTAGTCTTTTTCCAGACCGTGTGGGTGCAAATGTAAACCGATATCGTTTATTTTCAATGCCACTTATCCGGACTTAATATAAGATTTTGATTTTTATGAATATTGTTTTTAATCCAAAAATTCACTCGTATCAAGACTATGAGATCTTCGCACAGTATATCTAAATATTATACGGAATGACATGCGGATACGGATACGTATACGTATACGGATACGGATACCCTTCTTGGTGGTAGGTATGAAAAAGGACTTACGATCATTCTCTAAATCAAATTTTTAAATTGTGACGAAAATGCAAAGCGTTTCGGTGCTATGGCATAGTAGATAGGGAAACGATATTTCACCATATTTCACCATTTGAATATGCCTCTTATTGCAAGTTATAATAGGGTACAAAAACGTTTCCTTTTTACCGATTTTCCGCAATATCCTTTTTTAATGTTCGTTAATTGAATACCAGTTTCCTTCATTGTAGATACCAACTGAACAAACATAAAGATTAAAGTGTACAGCTACACGATAATTTAAGATACTTGACAGTTGATTATATAGCCATTCCACCATCGTAAGCATAATCTGCCTTATTATGCATCACCAAACGATTGTCGACAAAGTAAAAGCTATCCGATCGCGTTTCAAAAGGATTCGATATCATCTCAGCAACTGCAACAAACGTAAATAAATTATAAATTGCATTAACGTATGACTATGCAAAATATATCATATTCATAGGAATATCAATGCATCGTACATAACCTTTTATGATGATTTCTAATTTTACGTAAATTCTTATTGAGTCGATATAATGACAAGTAAGCGAATTGTAGAGTCTTTGATTATTCGCCACCCGTACGCACAATACGTAAAAATTGGTATTGTTTGGAGTCACAATTTTTACATGTTCTTATGAACACATTCTTATTTTATCTAATTAGCAAAAATCTTTTGGCTATTGTAGCTATATCACGCTATCCATGTCGAACAATCAACGAATGTCGAATTGGATAAAGCTTTTTCTTTTCAAAATCTTATGTTGATCGAGAGGTGTATTTCTGAATATTACCAACGGATGATTGATCTGCTATACCCTATGTCCCTTGTTTACTTAATAGAATATAAAACATATTTAGCGTAGAGTGAACATCCACCATCCACCATTAGCGTATTTGTAATATACATTGTCGTACATCGTAATAATATATATATTTTTTGGTCAAATTTTTATGTATTAGGTTGAATCATAATTAACTTCCGTTTTTTTTATCAGGGCATTTATTTTGTTTTCATTGAATAACAAAATTATATTAATTTCAACCTTTGTTGATTGGCGTGAATTTTGCTCCAATATTGTCTTTAAAAGGTTGTCGTCAAAGTCGGAAGGACGCCCCGCTTTTTAAGGTCATATCTCTAGAATGGAGAGGAATTTTACAAACCAATTTCATTTAAAACATAAACAAAAATGCGTTTGAAAGAAGGGCGCGCGCGGACTTTCCCGTTGATGCAGCATATAATGTACCTTCTGTACATAGACTATCCAAATAAAAAGAATTACTTTCGAACGAAAATTTAATATATATAAGCAACTGTCCACATTTACGAGTTAAACTGTTGATCTGTCCACCTAAGCCGCCGTAGCCTTGAAATATCTATAAACACGATTGATTTTTGATAGCATAGGCTTAAATATAAGCTCTATTTTTATACCCACTACCGAAGTATTGCGATATATTCACTTCATCAAAGAAGAAGGATGGTTCATAGACACCAGAAAGTATATATATATATATATATATATATATATATTCTTGTTTAGCAGGAAAACGTCAATTGAATTAAGTATGCCCGTCTGCCCATTTTTCTGCTTGTGCAAAGTCAGTGGAAAACATTCTGCTGATCGCAAAACTGAAGATATCGGCTATGAATTTGCAATAAACATCGGAAGTTCTTGCACGAAGATTTGGGTTTGAAAAAGGACCAATTCAATCAAATGGCGCAGCTCAACGTAAAGCAAGGACACTTTTACGTTCAAAAGCAAAAGAATGTGTATTTTTCCCATTATTAGTAATAACGTGCAGCAATTAATATTACAATTTATTTAATATATTTATTTGCAAAAGGCATCGACATAATTACCAGCCGTATTAGACTCTTTTGGAAAGAATGAAAGAAAGTAAAAGAATTGAAAATAAATTTTCTTTCTTTCTCTTTCTATGAAAAAACTTAATTCAACGCTATGGATCACTCAACCGTAAACGGGAAGGGCCAGAAATTCTTCTTCTTCGATATCACTGGTAATTGCAGGACAGCCATTTCGACTAATATGCGATCAGATTTTTCCTACTATATGACGAACTTTTTCTTGTTAGATCCATTTCTAGCGATTCCAATTCGTCTAAGCCATCCCTACTACGAGTTTGACATTAGGGTTAGGATCACGATACACGACAAACCTAATCTCACCGCTATAGCTAGGAAAAAATGACGTCTAAAATATTAAATATTTCTTTACATTTTAATGAACGATTTGTTTATAACAGATTTAGACTCGTTACAATATTCTGTTGCACCTTTTGTAATAAAATAGGGCAAAAGAATATTGTAGTATATATATATATATACCTATAATATATATAGTAATGTAGAAGTTTTCTAGATAAACTTTCAAAATACATACTTCGATTAATTAATCATGAACTTTAATAGCACTCCCAGATTTTAGGAATTGTAGGGTCAACTGTTCAAGTCAACAAATTTTAAACACAAATTTTGTGCGTGTTCTTTACTTACCAAGATCAGAAGGAAGATTGGGAAATTCATAGATATGCTCACAGCTGTTTTTTGAATATGGAATGCAATATCCAAACTCGAAGTCAAAAGTCTTTAAAAGTCGATCCCGAAAGAAATGACGTTCGATCATTCGAAAATTATTAACTGGTTGACTTCCAACTGTAAATTCAACCCTATATATAAAAAAATCAAATTTCCAATTTAGCATTAAGTCTTATCGTTCTAAGGATAAAGCATCGATATTACGTTGCACCAACTGTTTTTAGGTTTAGGAACGCCGGTGTAAACTGATAACGTACGTATCTTCCAGCATTTGGATCGGCAGTATCCTCCAACGATAATTCCTCAGTGGCAGCCATTAAAGTGTCTATGGTACCTTCAACAAATTGTTCGCTCGGTGGCTTCGCAATTTCAAACAGAACGGCACCGCTTTCCAAGTCGCGTATCTTAAAACGAGTGAAATCAATTTCATATACATTTGCACTGGGCGAACATAAGTAATCTTCGGTAATTGTATTTAATCGTAGTACATCCTCTGGCGTTATAGTGCACAAATCAACAGACTTTTCATTGTTGACCGAACTTGAACTATTGCCCGATTGAAGAGAATTTAATTGTTTTCCAATTACATTCATTATCTCAAATATATGACCTAATTCTCTAATTGGTACCTATATTCACGATGTGTTTTTATTTTAAATAAAAGCACAACTTTGTTCTCTAAAATTCACTTCTTACTTAGAATCCACGGATGATATATTTAACTTTTAATGCGAGTTAGTTTTCACAAATTCATTTGTTTTTTTTTTTTTTCTGATAATAAAACAGAAACGCAAAGCTGTCATAATTTTATGCGTTTACAAACCACTCGAGTATCAGAGTTGCTAATGCTATCTATTTATTTCTTTCTTTGGGTATCGTACGAAAACTAGGAAATTTCAAGTTTCCATTGAATGATAATATATAAATTGGGGACTTTTGCCGACTTTTGCAAATTAGCATAGAGTACTGCGTTTTTTCTGTAAATAGCATAGAGTATTACGTTTTTTCTGTAACTAGCAGAATATTTAGCTATTGTTCTGTTTAATTTGATAATAAAAAAAACTTATGGCGGTCTACTTTTAGGCTAACTTTTACAATTCAGGAAAAAGAATCGCAAACAATCAGGAAACCATTAAAAAGAATAACAATTTCTTTTATATATATTAATAAAGTATTTTAAATGTATAATAAAGCTATTATATAAATGAAGCTATTTATTTTATTCATATTTAAATATAAATTATATAAATTAATATACAACAACAGGAAAGAAGTTTGATCTTCTAGTATGAAAGTTATCGTGATTGGGTATGACTGTTGTTGCAACGGCCTACTTATTGTTGCATACATATGCGTTAAATATTCTGAGATGCAATTATATGGTGAAATGCTTATACTTTTTTATATTTTATATGTATGTCTTTTATTTCATAATGACTCTATGATTAAGAAAAATTCTTTAGGACAAGTTTTGGTAGCACTATAAGAATAAGAGTCTATTCGCAAGAGGATGTAAAAAACCCTACAAGGACACATGGTAGAAAAAAAATTTCACACATGGAATGAATGTTCAAAATAGAGAAATGAAACGATAATGAATCGTTTTTTTTTTTTTAACCATCATAAACAATAATTCCATATATTGCAGAATTTACAAAACGTATATATTGATAAATTTTGTTTACTTACATATATGTATATATCTGTATAATATATATATGAATATATACTACAAAAAGAAAAATTGTTTTAAAAAATATCCTCAACAAAAAATCGCCGCAAGGTAGCATCTCAAATTTCTTAGTTTTTCGACATACTATACATATCTGATATATTTCTCTCTATATATCCCATTGAAATTTCCAAATAGAAAATGTTTTGTCGCAAGAACTTCTTTACAAGGTAAAGAAATATTTCCGATGTATAACTAGCCCAAAAAGTTGTTTTGTTGTTTAGAGGGATAATAAACGGAAAAATTCGTCGAATCAATGGAATTTTATGAGTTATGACGCGTCGATAAGACCTCCGAAAGAAAGCTAAACATTTTAAAATCATTTTGAGGTTTAAGTATATTCCCGCTCGAAAACTAATAAACCACCCAATTTTTTTTCTTATTAATTGATGGTATATTGCCCTTTTAATCATGTACTTATCGAAAATAAGGCTTATTCTTTATAAATTATTATTTATTTATTATAAATAAATTTATAATTATAAATTTTTAAGAGCAGCAAGACTATTTTTGTTAACATTGTAAGGTGTTAACAAAACACGCTATCTTGTAGTATGAAAGTTATCGTTAAATGCAAATAGGTTCAGAATCGCTATTAGGGTTTTCTATAAATCTGAATATGAATCCTTTTTTCGAGTCACTCTATATCTGATATGTTACTTGTGCCTGAGCAGAATTCATAGTCATATTAATGCAAAACTCTTCTTTAATCTTAATTGATCTTAATTAATAACTGATTGAATTGTGTTAATTAATTAATAATTAGTTATTGATTAATAACCTTTAACTTAACATGTAATAGGCGGGGAAAAAATATAAAACAAGAATATTGAAAGTACTGGGTTGACAACTTCACGTACGCTTTCAGTTTTTTACTTCATTACATATTTTAGCTTTTGAAAAAGAGTTGTATATCCATAATGTATTAAGAAGTTTCTTATTTTTACGTCTGTAAACATGCGTAAGCATGCACACGCACACGGATAATAATATAATAGAAGGATTATTGCGCAAAAAGTTATTTTTGCAATGTCCAATTACGACTACATTTGCGGCTCAAGTGCACAATTACTTTAAAAACAATTGATTCCTAATTATTAAATTTTCGCTAATGAAGGCAAGTCTACGAAACTTTTCGATATAGAATTGGATTTTAATAAATCGTAAATATTTGAAAAAATATTGTGATAAACTTATTTACATTTTATGGCAACTATAAAAAACAATGAATGATGAAAGAACTGATTAGGGAAAATATGTTCGAGTCTTTTCCTTACTCTTATTTTCTACCTCTTATGGAGTCTTCGAGTTGAGTTTTCAGCTGCTCAATTCCGTGCATAAACCCATTTGAAGATATAGAATAATTTATCATTTCATTTGTAAAGCTTACAAACATGCATCTATAAGAGAGCTGACGGTCGCGCTTACATTTCCAAATCTGGGGGTGAAGTCAGTTTATGAATTCTATGAATTTTATAGCTGTAGTGTATAAAATAAAATAAATGTTACACATTTATAAATTAATTCCTTCTGCAGCCTCATTGTGTTTAATCCAACATAAAATCTTGGGCGATTAGGCCACGTTGGTCTATTGTGAAAACATTGCCCAGAATACCAAAGTAGATATCAAGTTGTTTGTTCTCATTGATGACAATTAAAATTTAAACCTAAAAATAAGTCAGTTTATAAGAAAGGTTTGAAAGGTTTTCATTCTAATTATCTTTTATTCCTGATTTTCGAGTATATTGTCATTTTAAAATGTCAATCATTGGTTTGATCAAATATTAACAATAATATCCAAATCGTGCGCATTGTATCTTTTATATCGAATCGATTTTTTTTGCGATTGTTGGTAGCATTGTAACGTACGTGATCTGAATGCACAGGCAGTTCCGACGCTTAGTCTGTTTTTGATAAGTGAATGAATCGGACATACTTATAGCGATTTTTGTGAGGGGAAATGTCATCGCAAAGAATTTGTCTAAAGTTTTGCGTTAAAAGTGGAATTAAGTGCAGCGAAGCAGTGAAAATGTTAAGAAAGGCTTTTGGTGACGCGGCCATGTCACAACCCCGAGCATATGAATGGTACAAACGCTTCCAGGAAGGTCGACAAGATGTCGAAGATGACGCAAGGCGTGGACGTCCTAGCACGTCTATTACTGATGACAATATAGCGAAAATTAAAGACATCATACTTTGTAATGGCCGAGTCACGATTAGAGAAGCCGCTCAAGAAACAGGAATTTCATATGGATCTTGCGAAGCTATTTTTACTAACGTTTTGAATATGAAACGTGTAATAGTAAAATATGTCCCAAAACTGCTAGATTTTCAGCAAAAACACTATCGCTTAGCTTTCGCTGAACAAATGCTTGCTGAGGTCTCTGGCGACCCGCATGTGCTCAAACGTGTTATAACTGGCGATGAAATGTGGTTATATGCCTACGACATTGAAACGAAACATTCTGAAGAGCCAAGACCGAAAAGAGCTCGTAAAGTCCGTTTGAATGTGAAGGTGTTGATGATCGCTTTTTTCGATTACAATGGCTTAGTACACTGCGAGTTTTTGCTACCTAATGATATAAAAAACAAGCGTTACTACCTTGAAGTTTTAAGAAATTTACTTGAGGCAATTCGGCAAAAACGCCCCGATCTTCGGACAGATAGCGCCTGGATCCTGCATCATGATAGTGCACGGATACATATCGCCTTGTTTATCGAACGCTTCTTAGCGGAACATAAAATCGTTGTGATGCCGCAACCACTTCATTCCCCAGACTTGGCTCCCTGCGACTTTTTCCTATTCCCCAAGGTCAAAAGTATACTTAAAGGGCAACATTTTTCGTCCATAGATAAAGTAAAAGCAAAATTGCATACCGAGCTTAAAAAGATACCCAAGGACGCATTCTGTCAATGCTTTGCAGACTGGCAGCAGCGTTGGCGGAAATGTGTTATATCAAAGGGCGGTTACTTTGAAGGTAATGAAATAAATATGGAAGATTAAATTGATTTGAAAGAAAGCAAAAATTATTGGACAGTTTTTGATCAGGCCACGTACAGCATGATTTATGCTATAATTATTTTAAAAAAAATTTTCCGTGAACCATGTCATATTTATCATTAGATCTTCCCGCCCTTCTCGTCCATCATTCACGTCAAATTAATTTTTCTTAAAAATAAAAAAAAGTTTTCCTTCAATTCCGATTAATGTAAGTCCTAAAACTTAATTCGGTCGATTTGCTAACACGAAAGTATTTTCTTTTCAATCAAGCTGCGATTCTCATAATCATCTACATTTTATTACTTAGTTCTTAAGATTAAAAGTTTGGAATTAATTAACGCATTTGAGAAATAAATATACACTTTAGGAATAGAATTTTTCGATTATTTTAATAATGAATTTTCAGTCAAATAATTTTTGGAAAGTATATAAAGTGACAGATAATATATATGTGCTTTGAAATTTTAATAAGCAACTTGATCAATTCGAAGGAAATCAAGAAATTAAGTAAAGTAAATTAAGAAATATTACTTCAAACCGGGAAAGTGTATTCCTTACGTAGTATGCAGTTTGAAAAACAAAGATTAAAATAGTCTTGAATGAATTCGCAAATCTCTAAATACGTTTAAATGCATAATATAAGAAAAGTGAAAAGTAAAATTCTGTTATTATGGCTAACAGATGACTAATAAAAAAAAATTTATTATAAAAAATAAGAACAAAAATCCAGTTATGTAAAAGAGAAAGGTTGCTGGTTGACCATCAAAGCAACGAGACAAAATCCTGTATTTCACTGTACACATTATTATGTACATTATGTACACACACACACACACACAAACGCTTATTATATATATATATTTTATATATATATATATATATATATATATATGCGCTTGTATATAGGGCGAGCCGAAAACAACTAAAGAAGCAGAACAACAAAAGATACATAAATATATTTTTCGTCTCTTTTCGGTTAACAACACACAACACGAAATATGAGAAAAAGGCGCGCAAAGTACAGTCACACATTAAAAGAGAAAATGTTTTATTTTTTTTCTTCCAACAATAAATAATGCACCGATGTAATTTTTGGAAAATACTATGCCAACAACTATATTTAAATTGCATGCATATGATGATGTTTTCGCTGTTTGATTTATATAAAAGTGCAAAATGTTTAGCATGTAAAAATTTTCACTTAAAAAATTTATTTAATAGTAATTTAAGAAAAAAATCGTCCGTGCTTAATGCAACTGTGAACCTGCTCACAGCGTAGCATTTGTCAAATTAAGTGAAAAATCTGAAATTTGCAAATAAAGAAAACTTGTCGTTTTATTGTTTTTGTATTCCTGGGTGGTTGAAGTAGTACAGATTCAGTGTTTTTTGTACAGATTACATGCATGTATATGTACTTTCTCTGGAAGAACATTATGGTCGGCAGTTTGATGATGAAAAATTTATTAAAGAGCGCACTATATTGCGTGAGAAATATGTCTATATATATGTCTATATATATATACATGAACACATAAATATATACATAGCTATATACAAATATTTTCCACATGGCATTTTTTGAAATATTCTCTCATATAATGTAAACGTTTAAGAATTAAGGAGAAAAGTGAATGAGTTTTGAAGAGGAGACAGAGGAAGGGGCAATTTGTAAAGCTATTATATACATATGATAAAATTGAATTAATTGAAAACGAAAAAAATAACAAGTAATACTAACATGTTCTGACGTATATAAGGCTAGAGAAAGACAAAATCCATAAAAGAAAGAGAGGAAGAGAGAAAGGGATATGTAAAAGTGAGAAGCAATATATGTATTCTTTTTTCATTATTAAAACGACCGACAACTATCATTTATTAGTTTGCAGGGCTGCCATAAGATTTTATTACTCTAATGTAACTTAAGGATCTTTATTATTTAAATAAGTAAATTATTTTTCAAATTATTTAGCACTTCTTGCAAAAATTTTCAGTACTATTCAATTAAGAAATCAAAGCTAGTATGTTGTGCGATAAATATTTTTTTAGAATTTTCCATTAAAATAATTCAACAGCATTTTTTGTTATCATTAAAAGAAAATATATTTAAATCTCCTGAAAAATGTAACAATTTGCACCAAAGCAAACACAAAGATTGATAGTTTCGGACATCGAAAAATTGTGATGGAAATAATTTTGTTATATTTTAAGTTGGATTTGCCTTTTCTTAATGCTGACAAACTAATATAAATGTACACAAATACAAATGCAAATATCCACACAGAAGTGTCGTAACGAGTGAATAAAGCGCTGTTTTTGTGCATTGTACATATGAACCGTCAACTTTAAGAGTAAAATTTTTATTCGTTTGCGATTTAAATAGTGCTTAAAGATCCAATTGGGTTATTAAAGCTGGCAACCTTTTTTTTTAAAATTATATGTATAAATGGAGAGAATAAAAGAAGCACCGCAATCTCTTTTTCTCTTGTTGAACTTTTTTGCTCCTTATCTCTTTTTTTTTTAGTCAGGCATATACACTCACATACACAAATGTATACGCAACACATATGAAGTTCTTTGTAAAGGCAAGCTAAGCCAGCGAAGGCATAAGGCAGCTCAATTCAATTCAATAGCGTTTGTAAAGGCAATTGCCATAGCATTCGTTGTTGGTACGTACAACACAGTGTATTTTGTTAATATAGCAGCTACGGCATAGCATTATAATATACAGTGAGCTAAAACAAGAAGAAGAACAAGTATAAAAAAAAAGAAATAAAACAACAAAAACATTCATTTTCCCAATTGAATCAGCGTAACTTTAAGGCAAGGCAAACCATCAGCTTTACAACGTCGACAACTACAACAACAAGAAATACAAGAAGAACAGCACAAACAAATACAAAAATATTCACACTCAGTTTAGTGCTACATATATAGATTAAAGCATTGTAGTACTGTACTGTGTATGGAAGCATTATATTCAAGCGAACACATTTATCCATCCATTTAGTTTGCGAGTCTATTGAGTGTACGCGTTTCTTTTTGAACACTCATCATATTGTGTGTGATTTGTTTTTCTTTTATATATATGGAAGAAGAGTGGGCACATGTAGTGTGATTATATTCTTTGCATATGTCATTATAATTATTGTTTAACAATTTTCTTTTTCTATATGATTATTGCTTGTGGTGTTTTTCCTAATATTTGATTATTATTATTATTATTATAGGTTTTTTTTTCACATTTTTTTTCATTTTTTCTAAAATATATTCTTGTTGTTGTTTTTGTGTTGTGATAATATATGCACATATATGCAAATACATCTATGTTTGGCTATTTTTATAGTGTTTAAGACCATTAAAAGGAAAAGAAAGGCAACAGCATTTTACGCGCCTAAATGATAATAAAAAGAAGAAAATGTTAAAGAAATATTAAAAGTGAAAAAAAAAAACGGAAAATATAACTGCTCTTATTGTTTTCAAGCGATAGCAAAAAAATAAAAATAGTATTCATTTCCGTTAGAAAAAAAAAAAAAAACGTAAACAACTATTAACGATATTTCGTTTATGGAAAGTTTGACAGCAATTCCCTAGACCTTTAAATCGGTGTGACGTACGCCAAGAGAGAGCGAGCTGTGCTGACCACATCACACCGCTACCAAACGTGTATACAACAATCAATCCCTTCAACAGTGAAGATCGT